CCAGCGATGCTCTAACCACTGAGCTATGGTGTAGTCGTCATCCCAGCAGAGGCCGTTCAACATTTTCTTCAGACTTCGTAACTCACACTTCCTGTGAATCCACACAGGCGGGTGGGACGCAGCCCTCACTGTAACCCACACACTTCACGTACAAACTAGCACGCGGGGAGCCCCAAGTCATAAAATATTAACTGGTTTGAGGGAAAGAGACAATAATAATAATAATAATAATAATAATAATAATAATAATAATAATAATAATATCACGGATGCTTCACTATGTGCGCCAAACCTCATCAGAGCAATCAACACCTACGTTCTGCCAGTGGTGTCCTATGGCCTTGGCACAGTCGTTCCTTGGACTGCGGATGAGCTCCGCTCGCTGGACAGGACAGTGAGGAAGGCTCTGACTGCTAGCAGGGCCCACCACCCACGTGCCTCAATTCGTCGCCTATATCTACCACGGAGTGAGGGAGGTCGTGGCCTAGTATGCATCGTAGATCTCCATGACCGTACTTGCATCCGGCTCGCTCAGTACCTGAAGGATCGGGAAGATGTCCCTGCCCTGGCCGCTGTTCTCCAGCACCATGAATCACGTCCCTCTAGAAAATCAATACCAAAGCTGGCAAATACTGTCCTGCAGCGCCTTCGCCTGACGAGCCTGGACACCGCTAACAAAGAGACTGTTAAACAGGCCCTCAATGACAACCGCCGCTGTGAACTTCGAGCGATGCCTCTTCATGGTCGCTATTGGGCGCGTGTTGATGGCATCCTGGACATGCAGCTCTCGTTTTCCTGTTTCAGATCCCAGACAATGCGTCCTGAAACGGAAGGCTTTCTCATTGCTTGCCAGGATCAGGTGATTGCCACGAGAAACAATATGCGCCATATCCACAAGAGGCATGATGTCGTGGACCTCTGTCGTGTATGTGGTGCACCCGGAGAAAATATGGACCACATCATCGCCTGCTGTCCAGCCCTGGCACGGACTGCATACATTGCCCGGCATAACTTTGTGGTCCAGGCCCTGGATCGTGCGCTGTGTAAGCAGCATGGATTACCCAGCAGTAAGCAGCTGGTGCAGGTCACAAGTTCTGCCAGTTGCAAGCTGATGTGGGAGATTTCCATTCCCACAGATCGAGTAATAAAAGCGAACAGACCAGACCTGGTGCTGGTTCTGGATGATCGGGCACTGCTCTTGGACGTCAGTGTCCCATTGGACCACAGGGTCAATGAGAAGGTGCAGGAGAAGATCAGCAAATACCTGCCCTTGGCAGCAGAGCTGAGGAGGATCTGGAACAAAAAGATAACTATTGTTCCAGTTATCATTGGTGCTCTGGGTGGTGTGTCAGGAACGAGCCGCAGCCACATCTTAAGCCTTGGGCTCCACGCGTCCGTGATCCAGCGGCTGCAGCAATGTGCTATTCTGGGCACCCTGAGAATTGTGCGGTCGGTGACTGGTCATGGATGGGAGAGTGGCATGGTCGGAACGGTCGGTTGACCTTATGTTAGCCTGCCCGTAATGTCTCGATGTGTCTCAGTCTGTGTGTTTTATGATTGTGGTGCATCATGCGCTGTGTGACGAGCCGAGAGGCGTGAATTTCTGCCATATGCCTCCAGTCATGTATTGTCTTTCTCTGCATATGCCGTTTTATCTCGTCTGAGTTTGTCTTGCTTGGAGTGTCCCATGTGCAGCATGGGTGTTTACTACTTGAGTAGTTCTGTTATACATGACTGTGATTTTATGTGAGTATCGAAGTTGGTATAGTTGAATTTTTCTCTCATGAAGTTTATCAAAATTTGGTTCAGGATTTTCTTTTATCTTCATTGATTGGTGCTTCACCCTTGGGTCATATGGATCCCGGTGCTGTGCTTCATGCCTCCTTTCAAGCTTTCTTTTTCTGCTTTGGGAGTGAATAAAGTCGTCATAATAATAATAATAATAATAATAATAATAATAATAATAATAATAAGTTAATATAGCTATGAATAGAATGAAGGCCGCAGACATCACGCAACTATGTTACTTGTTTGACATGTATTACTGTGTATTTTATAACAAAAATATTATTGAAAACCCAGAATCGATTTTTTTGATTTTTTTTAATAATAATAAGGTGTGAATTTGCTATTGCCTCAGTATGTGGGTGCATAGCAACCCACTCATGTCGTATGCAGGGGTGACTTTTACTTCGCCACCAGTTGTAACCCCGTCCCCAGTAGCCAAATCAGTCAGTTTCACTGGTTACATCACCTTCCTATGCGTAAGACGGTTTGAAATGCGCTTGGATCCATACAAAAACTGGATCCAAGTGGATCCAGTTTTTGAATTTTTGAAATTGTTGCTATGCTGTGACGTAGCTTTTTCAAGCTCTATGTCGTTTACCTTCTACGTTTGCGGACTTTGATAGTTCGCTTTGTTCTCTAAAATTTCCGATTTCTGGTAATAAAATTCGCCTTTCTGTTTTCCTGCGTTTTGAGCAGGCTTTTTGGTTGTTTT